CTCCCCTCCCGCTGGGCGCTGAGGCGGGCGAATGAGAGAGTCATGCATCCATTAATGAACTCCGCGCGCAGGAGTTCCAGCGGGCACCAGGCTGGCGTTTCCTCTCCGCCCCTCTCTTCTCTTCTCTTCCGTGCAGTGCTGGTCACTGGGACTGATTAATGAATCATGAGGTGGCTGCTGTTAATGCATTTATCTGGGGCAGACTCCATCGCTGCCTTCCGTTTGCCTTAGTGCGGTGGTGGGGTGAAGCGAGCGGCAGAACGGGCGAAGCTCCTTCCCGGGTGTATTTCCCCCCCCCCTCCGCATCTTTGCCTGCGCGCCCAGCACCTGCAAGGCGACCCCCGCTGTCTCTTTTTGCTGCCAGCCGGGCACCGACCGCGCTCCTGGAGCTGAAGAACCGTCTCTGCCCATGGGTCCTCCTGGGGAGGTAATAAGGACGGGGGGAAGGTGGTTATTTGCGGGACAGGGAGGCGTGAGAGGGCGATGTTTCCGTTCTTGAGGGTTTTTTCTTCTTGCCACGTAAAGAAACCAGTTCTCCGGTGAGGGAAAAGAAGAAGCTGACGTGTTGAAGGAAAGCGGCGAAAAGGGGGACGGTTATATGGGACGGGGAAGAGAAGGAGGGCACGCGGGATGGGGTGGTGTCAGAGCTCACCCGTCCTCGGAAAGGTTGGGTTACCTTTAGTCGTGCCAGGCAGGAGAGCATCCGTCCACGTGTAGAGCGGGTCGTGCGTGCTTATGTGTGAATGTGCTGCCCCCCCCCCTTAAAATACCTCGGCGGAGCCTGGCGATAGTTCAACGCTGCCCTCTCGCCTGCTGAAACGGTAAAACACAGAACGAGCTTCGACTTCTCGTGGCTGATGCTGTAAGTAGAACATCGGGACGTAAACGTTGTGTTGTTATTATTATTATTTTTTTTAACGAAAAGCTTACCCAGACTTGCGGGGGAGGGACGGAATAGAGATAAAATATTAAGCAAAACTTAACGTTGACTTTCTTTTACTCTTCCTTACTCAATGAAAGATCGCTGATTCCTTTTCATAATGGAGAGTATCTTAGAAAGATTAGGAAGTTCCAGATAAAACCAAAAAAGAACTCATCACCCAGTTGCACCTTCTCTGAGGATTATTTTTATTCCCTCTTGAGCAGAGGGAATGCATTTTATATTGATTTTTGACTGGCTTTGGTTTGCTTCTACCGGGCTGTCTCCAGTATTACACCTTTTCAAAGCATTCCGTTTAAATTTCCCACTTGGAAGAAGCTGATGCCATTTAAAGCAGATACCAATTACAGGATACCTAGTTCAGGATGGGATACCCCAGTGTGATGTAGTGGACAGAGTGACAGACCAGGACTTAGGAGACCTGTGTTCTAATCCTTGATTGGCCATAGAAACTCATAGGGAGGGGGTCAGAATTAGTAAAACCACTCCTTAAATACCTCACTTACCTCGAAAGCCCTATTATAGGCTCTGACTTGAGGGCACATGACATATAATTTAGTATGGACTAAGGAGCAATCACTTATTGCATGCCTGGGCTCAGAGGCTTCCTTTATCCAAAGTGGATAATTCACTTTTTATAGCATTTACAAGTCATTTGCCCAGGGTTCAAGCCTGCATAGTAGCTGTATGTACAGATTTGAAAATTTGGCTCCTTTCTCACAGTTTTGTAAAGGTGGGCACTGTTAATTGTGTTGTACAGGAAAAGGGACTCTGCATGTTCTCAGAAGTTAGCCTAATGTTACTCCCCCAGTTCCACAGCTGAATGCAGAAAGCAGTTTCTCCTGTTGAGCCGTTATATTTAAACCCTGATTTGCATAATTAGTTAGTGTTAATTGGTACTTTAAAAATCGTGATCTTTTTTCACTCCTGAAACCTAGAATGATTGGCCTATTTAGCAAATGAGTCCTGAATTTCACTTGTGTATATAAAATATAGTCAAGGATGTTCAAACTGTCTTATACATAAAGTGACTGAGAACTTGCAGGCACTCCTGGAAGAGTAGTCTCTTATGAAGCTGTGGTATATCCATGCTGTTTCACGTCATAGTTAAATTCATCCTGTTGTATTTTAATAGGTCATACCCCTTTAGGTATTTTTATCATACAGTATGGGGTTGTGATAGAACAAAAATGAATCAATGGGTACTCTATATATAGAGGAAGGGCATAATGGACTTCAGGAAAGGTGGATATTACTCAACGTGTATTTTTAAAACAGTGACATATTTCACATAGCATTTTGTAAAACATCTGAAGCAAAGTGGGGGAGAAGATAGGTGGGAATCCACTGGTAGATTTCTAGCTGCTTTGCTAGAAATGGTTTTGCAAAGGTCTGTAAATCCCAGTAATTTAATGAAAACAACCACCAAACATCTAGGTCCCTCCCTAAATTAAAACCAGGAGTAGATTCTCACATGAAAGAATTCTGAATTGATTTTGAAGCTGAACATAAATTCAAGGACTAACTATATTGTTGCTTAATTCTACCCACCTGAGCTATTATTTTTTTAATCTGGCTACAGGAGGTGGACAATAAAAAATGAAGTAGATTCCTCAAGATTTAATGCCCCCCCCCCACAATCAGTGATCTTTAAACTATTTTTATCCTTTCCAAACGAATGGCATCAGACCAGCCTGAATTAAGCAGTGTTAGTTCACGCTGTTTGTGCAGCTTGCAATAACCCATATTTATGTGGAGGACTGATGAAAGAGACTGCAAGTTCTTCCCTTGTGTCAGAAAATCAGTTTTATCCAAGAACAAAATGTGACAGCTGGTCCCTTGGTGTGACAGCAGAACTCATCCTGTTGTATTAAGAAAGAAAACCTTATTTAACATGATCCATCCGATATGTCACATTCAGTTGTGGCCCTTTCTGGTTCTTGAAAGTGAACTAGGAAAGATTAATGAAAGTATTTGGTGTGTCAGGCTGTGTAATCTCTCCTAATTTCAGGAGGCCACTACTAGATTAAGAGAGAAGCCGTAACTGTACCTTCTTGGGAAAAAATCCTTGTACTTGAATGGACAGTGTACAGTGGAATGACTGTATTTCTAAATAACTGCAGATCAGATCACACTGAGACATATATGGTACAATCATAATGATGTGTTGTTATACATTATATGCAATTTGGAATCCTCTCACAAAGTTTTGCTTCACTTGCAGAGACCATGTATGAGCAATATTTCATACCTCGGAAAATGTAGGTCTTTGTTTCACCTACATATTGCCTGTGGAATTTGTTGATGATGGAATAAGATGCCATAGTGATGGTAGTACAGCTGAGTCCCACCTGTCTTCTACCATGTCAGAGCTGTTTTGAAAACTTTTTTGGCTATCTTCAAAAGGAATGCAGGGGCTATGACCTTGTATGTTGCATTAGTTGTTGAGTGTTCACCTAATTCTAATTTTAAAAGGACTTGGGAGAACCTATGTTCCCACCTGACCACACTATTGTTTATTTAATTGTTCTTGGCTCGAATTATTATAGTAAATGCCTGTTTCCAGTTAACGTTTAAGTACTTGTTGTCATTTGACAAGAGCAGCCTGATGGATCTCCTCTTGTTTTTGCACAGGAAGGAAGTGTCCCTCTTCCAACTTACCATGGGGGAATGTTACATTGTTTGGCTGATGATAGATTGGGTTTAATGTTACAATTGGGGCATAGTGTTATCCCTAGAGCCTATAGATTGCTTTGTAATGACTCAGTGTAATAAGCAAATATATAGTTTCCTCTCTGAGTCCAACTTTTGAGCAAAGTTTTAGGATTACCTTTAGCAAGCAGTATTAGTCCTTTTTGGTCTGCATGCAGTATTCTAATACATTTTTTAAATTCCTCACAGGAATTTTTTTGGGGTTTTTTTGTTTGTTTTTTACAGATTCAGAACTTCACTCCACAATACCTTTAATGTTCTTAAAGCATGCATTGGGCTACCCTACAGAGATTCACATTTCTCCTTGTCCCCACACCCTTATTCCCATGTCTTTGATATGTCATGAATAGCTTGCAATTTAAAAAAACGAGAGATCTCTGCTCTTTCTGCCCCTTTATTCTGATAACTGTGACATGGCTGGCCATTAGTGTTTTCCCATTTATGATTTTTTAATAGTGCCTGGAACACACTGGAAAGAGTCCAGAGTCTATGTTTACACTTTCTTTAGTGGTTTTCTTCTTCTTCTTCAGAAAGTACCTTATCTTAAAACAGTTCTTCCCCCTTTTCCTGATCACCCTGCCCTGGCATATGAAATAATATGCTCAGTTGTTCCATCTTTGTTCCATTGTTATTATGTTGGAGAATAGATCAAATAATTCATTTCTTGTTTTTGTGGGGAAATGTACTTTGGCACAGTTTAAGAACTTTGGAGATGTTGAACCTTCTGTGAGACTCAGGTTTGTGAGTTAGGTTTAATGTAACTGTCACATGTTCCACTATTAATGAAGAAAGAGAAAAGTAGTGGACTTCTAATGCAGGAGGGATGACTTCTGTCTTTCCATTCTTATGACTGAATTCTCATATCAGAAATTAATTTTTTCCTCTGTGTTGTTTCCCTGCTTTCTTCTCCATGATTGTTAGAGATAACTGGACAGAAAGTAGTCTTCTATACATTCCTTTTATCTCCTTGCTCAATTTGTATCAATAAGTTGGTATGCCCAGTGTTTAATGACATGAGTCAAAAACAGTCCCATCTGGTTTTTCAACTGTTGCAACAGACTGAAATCTTTGTCTCTGTACATCTTAGAAGTATAGTGTTACATGTTTCCTGATGACACAAGTTTTAAAGGGAGCTGAGCCAGACAAAATAGACTGCAACATTGCTCAAAATACTGTCAGTGACACAATTCACTTTGTGATTACTAGTCCATATTGGTGATGATGTGAACATGCTCTCTATAGCTTCTTGTTGAGCTGAATATTATTCACTGGTGCTTGACATCACAAATAGTACACTAGTATGTTTAGACATTGATATGTCAGAGAAATGTTTCTCAGAGGTCAGATGCATCTGTACATCTTTTAAGAATTGTGTGCACAGAACCTTACTAGATAGCATCATCTGTCTTCAAACTGCAAATCTGACAGGCCAGACTTGCTTTGCTGAGCTATTTACTCTTTCTTAGGTTGGAACAGTCAAACTCATGATGCAAAACAAAAGTGTCCACTTTAGCAGGGTTTGCTTATAAAATATGTTTAGTCTGTAAATAGATTAATAATACAGGGTGTTCCATTTGCCAACCAGCAAGTTTGCACATGGTTTTTGGAGAAAATGAATTAAAATGTGCTGTGTAGGTACACTAATACATATGATCTATAGAGAGGCAACAGGGAAAGTTGAAAAATGTCTTGCATGTATTTAGTAGGAAAAACTACCACAACCGATTGCTTTCTTCCAAATGCTCCTCCAAGCTTCTGACTGTAGGGTATGGTGT